CAAAGCACCTGCAGCATCCATAAATAACACAAGCAGAATATGGCAACATACACACCTCAATTTAAAAAAAGATAGAAACTACACACCAAGGGACTTCAAGATCTTCAAAAAGATTGCCTAGCCCTGCTATACCATATTTATTCGTCTTTATGGTTCGTTTCATATTCCGTTGAGTATCTTCTATGAAGAAAGAAGCACTTTGTGAGAATAAACTGTGCTTCTTTGTTCATTATCCCACATTTAAATTAACATACTACGTTATTAATTATTTTTCTGTCCAAATTTGTGTAATTTAATACACCTACATCTAAGGACATTCAAGGAACCTACCACACATTTATCCTTTAAACCTACTACTACTATCCAGAGATACCCCTTGCCAGGTTGTGCTACTGCCTGCAAGAAGTAGTGTGCTCCTCAGCGATGACCATTTGTACTCTCTGTCTGCACTTGGGCCATTATGTAAAAACTGTAAAGCTACCCATAACTGTGCCCCATATGTATTTTTACTTCTTTATAGACTACATGTGATCAGGTCCAATAGAATGTTTTGCCTGAGGGTCATCAAACTTTTTTTTATAGTATTATGCCGCAAAATCATATTTAAATTTAAATATATATATATTTGTTGACAATTAACTTGATGTCTACCCCAGTTACACAACAAAAATGCGTATAAAATTTCAAGAATTTTACTATTATCATGACGGAAAGTCATGATTTTATTAAAGACACGGAGGCGGGTATTATGCTGCACTCTTTCTTTAATTCCCTCAGCAGCAAAGAAACATTACTTGAAAAAAGATAACCTTTGAACAGTTATAAACATCACAATGATAATGTCCGCCTAGCAACATGACCATCCAATCAGAGACATCCTTCTCCTATAGTAGGCAGAGCATCGATAACCATTTCCTCTTTCTTGCGAATCCCAAAGAATAATTCAACTTCGAAGAAGAAATGGATAAACAAATGAACCGGAAACATGCCTGACCTTCAAGGGACTTCTTTCAACCAAGTCATGCTAAAAGAAACAAGAAAATATGGCAATGTCCAGAAAATGAGCCTTTTCCGCATATATAGAGGCTTGAACGTCTGATTAAACATTGGTAATAATAAACATTGATAATAATTCATAAATTTAGTATGAGGAAACTACCAGCCTGAAGAACAGTGACAAATAAAGTCCATCATTAAATAATGCCCTGGTAGGTATGGCATCAGTAGCGTAAAATTAAACTTACCATGAGGATGTCTGTAACTTACCTTAACCCACATCCAAGCCGTCCTAGGGCGGGTCGGTGGGATAATACTCGCCTCCGTGTCTTTAATAAAATCATGACTTTCCGTCATGATAATTGTAAAATCCTTGAATTTTATTAAAGACCCGGAGGCTCCTATTATGCTATTTTAAAGCTGTAATATCACGGCTTATGCAAAATGCTGGATTGGTTTGAAAAAGAAGTTACGGAAAGTAGTTTCCGTGGACCAATCAGCTGCTTTCAATATAACCTCTAAGCGACAACCAACAAAGGAAGCTTTGGAGGCCATGACACCGCGAACTGAATGCGAAGAAAATATAGAGGTATCAATGCCTGCTAAGGACATGAGCCACTTGACCCAGCGGGCCAAGGTAGGAGTGGAAACCGTAGCATGCGGTTTGCGGAAGGAGATGAAGAGTTGGGGTTCCGAACTAGTCCGGAGGGGAGAGGTACGAGCTTCACACGCTTTCAGACATGCTACTGGGCACAGGAGCGGTTTCGTGGGGAAAAACAGATATCGGAGCAGATGAAGCAGGCAAAGCAGGATAAGGGCGAATGGAGGGAATGCATAGTTCCTGGTGGTGGACCAGTCTTGGGAGAATGCATTGGTAGCCAAAGCTTTCGGGTCTGGCCTCCAACTGAAAAAGTGTGGAAGTTGGGTATTCGCGAGGCAAACAAGTCTATTGCTACAGGACCCCATAGGTCCAAGATGTATTGGAAGGTATGGGGAGCGAGGTGCCAGTCACTGGAATCCCGCAGATGGCGGGAATACCAATCCGCTGTAGTGTTGGACAACCCTGGTAGATATTCTGCTCTGACAGCAATGTTGTGTTGAAGGCAAAATTGCCAGAAGTCCCGAGCCAGATTCGCTAGGACTTTGGACCTTGTGCCTCCCAGATGGTTTATATAACGGACCACCGAGATGTTGTCCATTTTCAACAAAATTGAGCATTGAGATAGGGTCATGGAAAGGCTGCGAATCGCGAAGGACTCCGCCATGAGTTCTAAGCAATTTATATGAAAGGTGGATTCCAAGTCCGACCATCGTCTGCCTGTGGAGACATCTCCGCAACGAGCTCCTCATCCGTAAGAATTCGCACCTGACTCTATGACTATCTCTGGGGCCGAGCCAAAAATGGCTTTACCATTCCACACCTCCATGTGTAGGAGCCACCAGTGAAGTTCTTCCTTCGCTTCTGTGTCTAGAGTTAGGGTATCCTCGTATGAGGCGCCGTCCCTGAGGTGTGACGCCTGTAGGCGTTGGAGGGCTCTGTAATTATTTATTTATTTCTAAAATATTTTACCAGGAAAGATACATTGAGATTTCTCTTGTTTTCAAGTATGTCCTGGGTCCACAAATCATTGCATTGTTACAATTAGGGTACAATAAAATACAAAAACAATATTAATACACAATAAATACAATATTTAACATAGAACATGCAGGAAATATATAATCAACCATGACAGGTGCATGCTGTTTTGAGGTATGTAGAGAGGGCTCTCTTAAAGGACTTTAGGCTTAGGGAAGATTTTAAATTGTGCGGGAGGTCGTTCCACAATTGCGTTGCTCTGTAGGAGAAGGAGGATCGGGCTGCTTTCTTTTTGTATTGAGGTATACTAAGTAAAGTGTTGGTACTGGATCGGAGGTTATAGGAAGTGGAACAGCTGAGGAAAGCATTGTGTTCAGGTAGGGTGGGACTTTCCCAGAAAAGCTCTTAAACACAAGGCTGGAAAGATGAAGGGTGCATCTGGATTCCAGTGACAGCCAGTTTAGTTCTTTTAGCATGTCACAATGGTGAGTCCTGTAATTACATTGTAGCACAAATCGGCAGAACGAGTTATACAATGTGTTGACTTTATTAATGTGGGATTGCGATGCAGATGCATATACTACATCCCCATAATCAATGACTGGCTTCAGCATTTGCAGTACAATCTTTTCCTTTACTGTAGGGCTTAGGCAGGATTTGTTTCTGTACAGGGCACCTAGTTTTGGATAAAGTTTAGATGCAAGCTTTTCTATGTGCAGGCCAAAAGATAGATTGGGGTCTAACATCATACCGAAGTATTTGAAAGAGTGGACTGCGGTCAGTGTTCCAATGAACGGGGCCTGGAAAAATGGCTTGTATGGAGGCAGCCAAGAGCCCAATGACACGGGCCAGGTGCTTGAGAGATAAATGTGGGGAGGTTAGAACACGCCTTATCTTTTTTCTGATATTCCTCATTTTGGAGGCAGGTAAGAATAGCGTTTGCATTACTGAATCCACTAGGAGTCCTAGAAACTCTATCCGCTGAGTGGGAACTAGTATGGACTTTTCCCAGTTGATAATGAAGCCTAGATTCTGTAGTTAGGTTGTGGTCCAACCAAGGTGAGTATGGAGTCGGGGCACCGATTGGGACAGCAGTAGGATGTCGTCTAAGTAAATGATTAGACGAATCCCCCGACCGCGTAGAAGAGTGACAACTGGCTTAATCAACTTGGTGAAGCACCAAGGTGCGGAAGAGAGACCGAAGGGAAGGCAGCGGAATCGCCATTTTCTTACTTGCCATGTGAATTGCAGGTAGTTCTGATGGGCTTCTGCAATGGGCACCGTGAGGTGATCGAGTTTCACCATCCAATCTGATGCTTGGAGCAGGTGTCGTAGGCAATGAATGGCCTCCATTTTGAAATGGTGGTAATTTACGTAGGAATTTAGATGTTTGAGGTTGATGACTGGGCGGATACCGCCACCCTCTTTGGGGACAATAAATAGGTTGCTCAAACCTAGGGTATGCATCGGTATTTCTAGAATAGCCCCTTTGACGGCTAACTTTTGTATTTCCTTGAAGACAAGGATAGTATCTGATCGGGAAAAAACTATCTCCCTGGGTGGGGATTGTTGGATATGTAGGGATACAAAGTCTATGAGGTATCCGTGGACTGCTTTGAGTATCCAGGCATCTGATGTAATGAGAGTCCAGACATGGGAAAAATGTGTGAGTCTGCCCCCAACTGTGATATGAGAAGAAAAATTAGGTAGGTAGCTTACCGTAAGGACGTCTTCCGGAAGGAGCACCTCGTGAGCCTCTCGACACCCATGGTCTGCCTCTTTGTGGAAAGAAGATCGGAGCGGACCTCTGTTCTGGAAAGGGGGTTGTCCCCATGTAGGAGCCTTGGTTCATTTGGTGGGAACCTCTATGAACTCTGCCGGACAGACGGCCCCTTGCTCTGCCGGCCCCAGAAAAACCTTTGGGTGGAACACCCTTCTCATGTTTAATTGTGCCTTGTTCAAGGCAATAAATGTTTGGACATATGTGCCCAGGTCTTTGACAAATTAATCTCCAAAGAGGAAACCTTTGGCTTGATGGCATGGTTTTGTAATTTCCATGTGAATGAGCTTAGGCTCTATATTTAATAGGATAGATTTACGGTGCTCTGTGGCGAGAGCGGTATTAGCATTGCCAATAAGGCATATAATTCTTTGGATCCAGCCTCTAATCGTGAGTCGGTCTAGGGCCTCATCTTGGTCCAAGGATTGTTCCACAGCTTCAACTATTTTGGTTGCTGGACCTAATATATCTAGAACCTTGTCTTGGCAGTTATATAGGGAAAAATCCAAGCCTTTCTTAGGCTTCCATCCAGTTTTGCTTAGGAACTGGATAATTTTTGGGGTCAACAAGGGGGGGTCATACAGGCCTCGTCAGGTACAGTGGGGCGTGGGCATTCTGCCCTTAGTTTATTTCGGGCAGCTTTATCTAGAGGCTTGTGGACCCGAGATGCCACATATTGTGCCATTGTGCCACATGTTCAGTTGGCGACCATTCCGCTGAGTGGGGGTGGCGTAAATCATTAGGCTCAAATAAGAGTTTGCCCTGTGGGCCGAGTATTTTATCCCCTTTATTTAAGTCAGGGTTAGATGTGCCTGTGGTATGTAACTCGGTAGAGGGTTTTGAATCCTCAGTAAATCTGTATTCTGAATCTAAGTCAGATAAATCATTTGACTGGTCTGATTGTAATGAAAGTGCACTCTCCTCTTCTGAACTGAGTTCAGACTCAGTGTAATCTGATTGGGCTTTTGCCCATTTCCAATGCCTAGCCACTTTTGCCTGGCTTGAGGCTCTCTTGCACTGTGGATTATTCACACCATCCATGACAGGTTTAGAACTGTCCATCTGTTTTTTGGATGAGTGATTTATTTTTGCTGAGGCCTTGCGGCGGGGGGGGGGGTTTAGGATGAGAGTTTGTAGGTATCGCGGCTGGCATAGCTGCCGGAGGGACCATTGATTGGGCTTGTAATATCGCTTGTGCGAAAGATTTTGATATGGATGAGGACATAATGTCTGTTGCAGATGCCAAGGCTTTTGACACAGTAGTATCCATAATTGCCTGAATTTCCTCAGATGCAGGAAAGCCTCATCCCCAATAATCATATGAGGCAAAACTATGGGAGTTCAGGGGTTAGATTGAGCCCCAGATGGCCCAAGTAATTCATAAGGGGACTGCATATTAAGGTAGACTAATGGTAGTAAATGCAGAGATATTTATTAAAACAAAGACAGGTGAACGGAGTTAAGTAACCCAGAAGAGAATTGCCTTAGTAAAAGAAATGCCTTATGGTAAAAGCAGAAATAAGCGTTTATTGACTAAATCTGTTACTCACAGCCATTAAATGGGGAGAGAGCATAAAAAGAGAACCGTCCGCCACTAATTCTGGACACCCACTCCGACCAGAGGACGGAGTGGGCGTATCCGAGTAAAAAGGGTGGGAAGCGTTAAGAAAATGGCAGCCGCGGAAACAATGGACACCTGAAGATGGCCGCAGCAGCGAAAACGGAGCACAAGGTCTAGAACAAGGTGACCGCAGTGAGCACTAGCCCAACACTCATGCCAGGAAACTCGGTAACGGCTGAACGCGCAGTCGGAATCCGTTCCGAATGCGCACAACAGCCGGGTTGCAAGATGGCCGCCGGGCGTCTCAGACGAGACACGCTTGCGCGGCTGAACTGGAGTCCGATCCCCGTGACAAGCGGCGTCGGCCGGAACAGAAACCGGCAAACTGACAAGTACCTTGGATACTGAGCTTGACAGCACAGCACTGAATGTTTGAAAAGGACACCTTAATGTGGGGTACAGGGATTCCTGTCACAGCATTAATAAGCAATATGATATTAAGCAAAACTATCAAGGAACCACATAATAACTAAGGACTAACATTTAAAGGTACCACACAGTAAATTATGAGGTTAAATATACATGGCTATACCCAAAGACAAATTACATATAATATAATCATAAGTAGGTTATCACAGTCTTAGAGTACTGTGAGAGGTGTACTTATCTGAGGGAGCAGCAAAGAAAGAGGAAATGGTCATCGATGCTACGCCTACTATAGGAGAAGGATGTCTCTGATTGGAGGGTCATGTTGCTAGGTGGAAATTATCATTGTGATGTTTATACCTGTTCAAATGTTCTTTTTTCAAATAATGTTTCTTTGCTGCTGAGGGAACTAAAGAAAGAGTGCAGCATAATAGGAGCCTCCGGGTCTTTAATAAAATTAGAATATATTTTTGCTACAAAGGAACAACTTGCAATATATGTATTATTTCACTTAAATTTGCAAAGAAAGGAAAAACAGTTTTTATGAGGGCAAAATGTGGTCAATGAACAAATATAATTTGATTATTTCTGGAAAATAATGTGGGATTCAGTAAATCGTACTTTTGGAGCACACACAAAAACAAATTCAAGTCAAACAAGCATATTTTAGAGCATGGCTCTAAACATCACATTATAGCAAAACACCTTGCCCATGGCAACTTGGTGCATACTGTTCCTCTTAAGTTTTTACAGTGAATATTCTGCAGATCTGCTGTGCCCTCAGGTAAATAAATTGCTTTATTTAAACTGTTCACTTAAATACAGAGATCAGCAGTGGAAAACTGATTTCAGCGTTTCAGGTGGAGGCGTGAAGTTTAAATCAAGATTATTTTTGAGGGAAATGAAGGTTTACAGCATATTGAAAATTAACTCATGATATTCCATGGTATATTTTCAAGCTGGTGAAACTATGTACTTTGACAAAACATACAAGGAAAGCTCTACCTGTGACATGAATATTTAAGTTTAGGTGAAAATGATTTAAGGTATCTATAGGCAAATCCATTTTACAGAACTCAGCTGTTATACAAGATACAGTAGAAAGTTTCAGAATGCAGAAAATAAGTAACCTGCAATTCATCCTCCTAGTCTCACTCCAACTCATTTTGTAAACTCTATGGGACACTATCTCCTATTATGTCTCTGTAACTACTGCACTTTTTTCTTCTCCCCTTTACTGTAATGTAACCTTCAAAATTTGAACCAAATATTACTGCGCTTTTTACATTGGTCAAGTACTCTGTAATGCTGTAGAAGAGACTGTTCGTAAACTTATTTAGACAGTGTTACAGTCTAAAGAAGGGTTCTCAAAGTGACCACCTACAGGCCATTTCTGGTCTCTGAACGGGTTTCGTGCAATCTGTAACCTGAACTTTGGAGACCCCTCTGATTGCCCTGTCAAAGGTAGGATCTGTATTTCTCAACTGCCATAATCACGATTGCCGTGACCGCAACTGTGGCAATTTGAAAGAGACCGAGTCTAGTAGGGTGCTTGAGGCAGCAAACTGGTGCTGGGATATCATAATATATTGTTGCTTTGGCTTGACAGTTAGGGAATACAGTGTATATTAGCCAGCCACAACATGAATAGACTACTTTAAGAGCATAAATACAATTTAACTTCAAATGACATCCTAAAAGGTAGGTTTTTATGGGTCAGCAAAGTAACCCATTGTAATGTAATGTAGCAAATTAGGGCATTTCATAAACGAGACAAGGACTTTAAATATAATATTTGCATACATCAAATTAAGGTAAAAACCAACCACGTTGTACTTGCTAATTCGAAATGCTGCATACAAACAGGGATACAGTAAATGTTAGACTTGGAGATTAATTTTAGTCCAACTGCAATTCGTCCGAATTTGGGCCAATCTGGTGACCTGTTTAATTCCCAACACTTAACCAAAATGTAGCCAAATCATGAACTAACCAACATGTGCAATGATTTAGCATGTGCGTTTCAATTTGTGCCTGTGAATTTTGCCCATGGTGCCAATAAAAGAGATGACTGATGAGAAAAAAAGATGATTGATATCTAGGGGACAGTCACAAAATGTTGATTTTATGCACAGATAAAGTGAGAAGTGAGTAATAAAGGGAAAAATTATAATAAATAAATTAATTTCTATATATTGTTCTGTCAAACAGTTTTAATTAACAAGTTTCAAATAGTATAAATAACAATAAACTATAAGAAGTCTTGGTTACTTTTTCACGATTGATCTCTAAATCAAATATTAGGAAAATACTCCTATCAACATACTGCAAAATATAAACATACTATTATAAGGTTAATCCATTTCAAGTAGTCCATAGGTTGCTTGACTGTTTTAAATTATTATTTTTTTGAGTGAAAATCTGTACTGGAATTGCCAAAAACACAATTTAAATTTTTTTTTTATTTTACTTGGTTTAACGTTAGTTTAACCTTAGCAGCCATCTTTGTGTCAATGCACACAACACATTTTGGTTACACAGATGTTTATGAAAACCTCAATATCTCAGTTCCAGATAGTCCTAGCTCCTTACACTAAACTGATCTCTAGAGCACATTACACGGTACATGTGTATATATTTATATATATTTGAAGGCTTGGCCTGGAGTTGTGGGAGGGGCTTGGTTCACCTTTAAAAGGACTGCCAATCCACTCCCACCTTACCGTTGCTGGTCTGGCGAGTCTGAAACGTAACTTCCGGTTCAGACCGCCATCTTGGATTTTTCCTTACCTGTTCCCTCGTGGTGTCCTGGTCCGGGCTTCCCTGGCTCTCCTTACCATTGCCAGCGTCCGCACAGCTCGCTCGTTACCTCTTCTTCACGAAAACTTTAAGTCAGGCTCGCTGTAAAGCAACCGCTGCAATTCCCCTGCTTTACACGGCGGAGCCCCGTTCAGTTCAAATCTACGTTCGGTTTGTTTTATTGTATCACTATTGCATTCGTCTTAAATGCTTCACTCAGCTATTCGCGTCTTCACCGTTCAAACTAACGAACGATATCATTCGGTTAAATTATGCTTAAACATCAATCGGTTGGTTTCGAATGTAAATTATGGTGTATCTATTCGGTTGTTTCTACACTCTATATAGTTCTTTCGGCAACCACACTAACTCACGTATTAAGCACGAATTCAGCCAGTACTCCATTTCTTATAGGTTGTTTGCCTTCAAACGGTAACTTTTACAAGCACGAAAACCGTCGTCAATTTTGTTAAATCTACCCTCTGCAGTGTCGGGTAGGTTCCTTGTTTTTTAGGGCCCACAATCTGGCCATAACACTACGTTTAATATCACATTCATATATCAAATCTCATGTCCAACACGTAATCATCTCAAGACTCTTACAGTCACTGGTTACTTCTACCTCGACAGCGCAACCTGACTCACATATCAGGTACTACGCCAGAACCCAATTTTCTGCTCTACCATGTTCTGAGGGGTACTGGTCCTAGGTTATATGACCCAACTAGGTAAAAGTTTCTGGTCTTAATCCATAGGCTAGTGGTCCCGCGAGACCAACACCCCTCTCCTCATACTCGGAGGAATACGCCCCTTGGGCCAAATCATAGCTAGCCGTCTCGCATTTTCACATAGAGAGGGCCTCACCTGTCACTCCCAATCTATCTTATGCTTTAACTACCACTGAGAGGCCAACACCCCACCACAACGTTCGGTGGCCTCATACGTTCCCCTCGGGCCCACGCATAGGTAGCACCTCTCAAGCCGCTTGGCAATTAGTAGGGACTCATCTGTCACCATCAATAAGTATAATTGTTTTGCCGCTTGGCATTTAGCTAGCCTTACCAGTACCCACCCAAATCAAACATTACAGAGTGATTGATTAAAGCTTACTTATATTTTCCAGTTACGTCTAATAATCCTGATATCCCCGAGGAACTCTCGCTACCCTGCACTCCCGCTAGGCCTGGTACCCCTGTTCCTGTAACAGACGTTGCTAGTCCTGCTTCTCTCAGATCATGGACCATCCCACGTCTCA